GTTTCAGAGAACATGGTGTTGACCCCCGTATCTCAAAATTTCAGAGCTGATCATTTATAATATGCTTTGGATTTAGAAAGTACTACAGGAACTGGTCATGTTTTAGAGTATCCTGAGAAATACCGCCCTCTAGAAACGTCTCCAATGTCTTTGTTTTCAACAACTCATGTTTTGCAGAAAAAAGTGATATTGTGACAACTCAGTTCTGTTTTTGAAGGTAAAATTTGTGAATTCAGTATCTTGTGGATTTTTTTTCCCCCCCTTTCTACTTTCAGGTTACTAAACTAGGTAACTTACCTAACAACATTATGGATATCTGGGAGTTTTTGGGTAAACCTCAACACTGCCGCTATACTTGGGACACCCACTCCAATACCAACCTGGATGCAGCGTACAAGTGCAAGATGAGGTTCGACCGCATTTACTTTCGTCCTGCAGCCGAAGGGGGAAATATTATTCCACGAAGTATGGACTTAATCGGATTGGAAAAACTGGACTGTGGCAGATTCCCTAGTGATCACTGGGGTCTTCTGTGTAACTTTGATGTGATATTATAAAAAAGAAAAAAGGCCACGTTGTTAGTTTTTAGGTGATTCGTTCTTGTTTTTACACAATTTTACCCTCTCGGTTTAAGTAGGGCGTATTTAAATTTTCAACCCTAATGCATTCTCTGCTCTTGACTTCTGCTGCTTCATTTCAAGGCAGGGTTCCCTTTTCCTCATTGTATGCATCTGTTCTTGAATCATGCTTTTAAATATTTATTTTTAACAACATACGCAAATACAAAAACAAATTCTAGTTTTAAAACAGGTGGAAACCTGTAAATACAATTAATAAACGTAAGTGGTGGCTTAAAGGACACTTATTTTTGCATGTATTATAATCTTGTAATAAATGCTGGTTTTTTATTTTAAGAATACTTTTATTATGCCTGCTTTATATCTTTTGTAACTATTTCCATCATCCTTTACAACCCTGTCTTCTGTAGGGTGTTTTGTATTAGCTTCTGAAGTTTGTGTTGTACATATGTGTGTCTTCAGGCAAGAAGACAAAGGAGCTGAGGAAGGAAAGACTGGATTCTCACAGAGTAAGTGTTTCTTGAGTAAGAGTTAAACTTCTATTTAACAGATTTAAGAACGATATGCGTTCTATTCAGCAAAAAAAGGATATAAGCAAATGTGTGGAAGTTGTTCACTTGGGATGGTGTGTACCTTACTTTGTGTTTATTAACCTGGATATGAGTTGCAGATGAAAACGCGTTACCTTTCCAGTGAGCATCTAGAAACAGCACTCTTGTAACTGCTGTGCAAAGCTGGAACAGCTCAAGGTCTCACTGACTTTGCAAAAGATCAAACAGGCTTTCTTAAAGAAATCAATCTCATAGAAGCTGTTGTTTTATAGATGTGCAAAGTACTAAGCTGATTTAAAACAGAAAGTCACTTACCTTTCTTGTGAAGTTTAGGGCACAGACATGGAGAGGAAGCACAGACAACCCATGTCAGTGGCATGAAGTGAACACAGAGACTGACAGCCTGAGGCACTTCTTGTTGTTTGTCCTTGATCTTAAGCACAAAGCTTACAAACAACTTGTGTTCTGCTGGAGTTCTGTGGTGGGTTAGTGTTGTGTAGCCAAGCTCTCAGCCTGCCCTTCCCCAGCAAGATGGGAGGAGGAAATGGGAAAAACAGAAACAAGTGAGATCATGGGTGAGGATAAAGTCACAGAGATCACTTACCAATTACCGTCATGGGCAAAATAGACTTGGCTTGGGGAAATTAACCTGATTTATGGCCAGTTATTATATGTGTGTAATTACTGATTTGGACATTGAGAAGCAAGAAGATGAACTTGAAAACATAGGAGGGAAACACCTTTCCTCTCCCTTTTCCCTGACTCAATGTCACGCCAGGCTACATCGCTGCGAGTCACGCAAGTCCCTTCAGCAAGGTGCAGAGCAGCAGGAGAGGGGCCTATGGTCAGCACGCGGCCGTGCCTCTCTGCTGTGCCTTCCCTCTCCCGCTTCGCCTCTGCTCCGGGGCAGGTCCTCCGTGGGCTCAGGCAGTATGTGCTCTGCCATGGAGCCCCTCCTCTGACCTGAGTGTTCCCTCTGCTGTTTCTTGCGCTTTTTTGCCCCCTCCTCCTCTGCCTGCTCAGCATTTTCTTCTTAAAACATCAAAACCCAAGTTCCCTTTACTAAAAGTAAACAGCCTGTTTTGGGAAGGATGTCCAAATCCTTAACTTCCTCATCACTCTTAGCATATCTTGTTATTTTATAGTAACAGCTTCAAAAACAAGGAGGTGGAAGTTACTGATAATTTTTTTAACTTATGCTGAGCCCGTGATCTCTTCTTTCTGTTCCCAAATAAATAGTTGTGTAAAAAGGTGAAAAACATCCACAAATGCCAGGATTTTCCCTCTGGGTTTAAAATGGGGCTGGCGCAGTCACACTGACTTGCTGCACGGTCTCTTCTTCCTCACCAAGTCTTCAAAGAAATGTCCTGGGGTTTGCTCTCACTGCTTACGCCTCCTCCATCTCCCCAGTAGTTACAGTCAAAAATTTGTGGGGAAGATGAAGGCAGGGGATAAAAGTTTAACTTTCCTAAAAGTATTGGAGAAAAGGAAAGTGCAATAAATGCATGCATTGTCACAAGAAACAGCAGTTTACATGGCCTCCTGTATTAAAGCTGCTTTTGTTTATGTGGCTGCACCTTCTGGACTATTTTGGAAGATATGAAAAAGGCTGATTGTTGTTGTACTAGTTTAATTTCGGGAAGAGAGAAAAAAGGGTTCAGAGCAGTGCGTGACTTAGCTCAGTGCCTGAACTCCAGACACATTTGTAGCATTTACTACCTGATCCCTCCTCTTATTGACAGTCTCTCTTAACCTTTGAAATAGATAGTGAGGGGCAACGTAACATTTTTGTTAGGAACAGGCAAGGACGTAACGCTTGTAAGGGCCAATTAATCTTTCTAATCATAAAAGATAGGCAAGAGGAAGACTATAGTCAGTTCAATTAGTGGTTAGTCATTCTTTCAGAATGAGGAAATTATGCATATAGCCTTTAAAACCTTCTTGACCTACAGAAAGAGTGATAATAGTCAAATAAATTTAAGAAGACATAAATGCTAAATGTTTTATGGACTCTTGGATGTGAAACAATGCATCTTTAATTAAATATACTTCAGACCACTTAATAAGCATCCAAATTGCTGACAAGAACAGCCAGAGTCCTTAAATTAATTTGCCTTTTAATTTAACCAATGATGTAAAAGGTAAAATATCTGCTGAATACAGCAAGTAAAACTTAAAAGGGATAGAAACAACAAAGTTAAACCAAGCGAAAGATTTCTTGGGCTATGACTTACTTGTAATTTGATTTCTTTTCCCAACTCAGTAACATAATATTATGGCATTTACACATCCTAAAGGCATTTGGCACTGTCCCGCACGACATCCTTGTCTGTACATTGGAGAGACTTGGATTTGATGAATGGACCATTCTAAGGAACTGGCTGGATGGTTGCACTCAAAGAGTTGTGGTCAATGGATCAATGTCCAAGTGGAGACCAGTGATGAGTGGCATCCCTCAGGGGTCGGTATTGGGACTGATGCTGTTAAACGTCTTTGTTGGCAACATGTACAGTGGGATTGGATGCACTCTCAGCAAGTTTACTGACAATACCAAGCTGTGTGGTGTTGTGGACACGCTGGAGGGAAGGAATGCCATCCAGGGGAACCTTGACAGGCTGGAGAGATGGGCCTGTGAGAACCTCATGAAGTTCAACAAGGCCAAATGCAAGGTCCTGCACATGGGTCGGGGCAATCCTAAGCACAAGTACAGGCTGGGCAGAGAATGGATTGAGAGCAGCCCTGAGGAAAAGGACTTGGGAGTGCTGGTTGATGAGAAGCTCAACATGAACCATCAATGTGCACTGGCAGCCCAGAAAGCCAACCATATGCTGGGCTGTATCCAAAGAAGCATGGCCAGCAGATCGAGGGAGGTGATTCTGCCCCTCTACTCTGCTCTCGTGAGACCCCACCTGGAATACTGCATTCAGCTCTGGAGTCCCCAACATAAGAAGGTCAGGGAGCTGCTGGAGCGAGTACAGAGGAGGGCCACAAAGATGATCCGGGGGCTGGAGCACCTCTGCTATGAAGACAGGCTGAGAGAGTTGGGGCTGTTCTGCCTGGAGAAGAGAAGGCTCCAGGGTGATCTTATTGCAGCCTTCCAGTACCTAAAGGGGACCTACAAGAAAGCTGGAGAGGGGCTTTTTACGAGGTCATGTAGTGCTAGGACAAGGAGTAATGGCTTTAAACTGAAAGGGGAGATTTAGATTAGATCTAAGGAAGAACTTCACTCTGAGGGTGGTGAAACACTGGGACAGGTTGCCCAGAGAAGCTGTGGATGTCCCATCCCTGGAAGTGTTCAAGGCCAGGTTGGATGAGGCTTTGAGCTACCTGGTCAGGTGGAAGTTGTCGCTGCCCATGTCAGGGGGTTGGAACTAGATGATCTTTAAGATCCCTTCCAACCTAAACCATTTTATGACTTGTACAAACATGTGAATGTGAGAAAATGCAGTAATTCTCTCCTATTAATAGTCAACAGCAACAATGGACCTTGTGGAAATCATGTACTATCGGAGGCATTATTTTATCAATATTTTGATTCAGGTATCAAGAGAAGCAATTTCTTCTGAGGATCCAGCCAGTCTTAAACATTTCCACATCAAAAGAGCTTGAACTTTTTGGAAGAAAAGAAATATGCATAGAACGAAATAAAGAAATGTTAAACACCTAGGGAGGTAAATACTAAATAGATGGATAAAAAAAATGGGAAAAAATGGGAAAAAAACTACAACATTAACAGCAGAAAACTATGTTATAATGGTTAAAAGTATACGTATATACGTATGCTTTTGACAGTAGGGAGTAATCTGAAACCACAGCTAACAAAAATTTGTTTTACAAAGAGGAAGTGCATGGAAGATTAAAGCTATAAACATCAGACATCATGTACAGGCTTGGAAGTCAATTTGATACAAGAACAGACAAGATATATCTAAAATTACTAGATGAAAATGCAAACATGATAACCTGTATTATGTCAACACCTGCAGAGCCTATTGTTATGGTTGCTGTACAAAATAAAAGATGAGATTAATTACAGAGAAACAGATGGACTATGTTTTGATGAGAAAATGGCATGATTTTCAGTTGTATCATCTCAGCATGGTTGAAAAACTCCACAGAGGTCATGTTATCACTTCTGCACATCTTAGTGTGTTTTTACCCAGCAGCAGGCAATCTGGTACAAAATCCTGCTGAAGACGTAGTGCCTGTGGGTGCTGTCTTGAAACACCCAGTGCAAGGGTTACAGAGTGGCTTTGCTTAACTTCATTACTCACTAACAGTATAATAAAGACTCATTAATGAAGGTTCATAAATAGGATCTTTTCATTTCTTGGAGATGAGGCTTGTTATGTCACATCAGCTCACAGAAAACAGACTCCCAGTGACTGAGAAGTTGTCAGTATAAAGCTGCATTTTTGATAACAGCTGAGAAAATAAG